AAATCCGAGTAACAAATTTCCATTCCCAACCACATTGTAAACACGATTTATTCAGTAATTCAAAGTAAGATAATCGCACAGAAGCCACAAACAACAAAGTCACCACAAGAAGTAAAATAGAATAGAGCGCGGCTAGAGCTACATATGTATGTATGTAGATTAGTTGCGATGATTGTGGCGGCGATTGTGTGGAATAAAATGTCACATGGCATCGGATCAAACGGATCAAGCAACCGATGAACAGTAGCAGCAGCAGCGTTGAACGTTGCCGTTGTGACAGCATTACAGCAAAGTTATTGCAACATTGACAATGACAGCGGCTGCGGCTGCGGCTGCGGCTGCAACAGCGAGTGCAGCTGTGTCGGTAACATACCAGAGCAGTCGATTGCAGCAATATGCAATTTGATTTTAGTTAATGTGGTCATTGTACTGTGTGCTTTTTACCCCAAACAGATGCCATATACATACATACGTATGTACCTACATACATACATATATATGTATGTACATATGTAGCTGCAACAACAGTGCGACATCGGCAATCAATTTGCGCTAGCTACGGGAAATTTAATCTGCATATCAGCGGTTGTTGCATTTTGGCCGCCATTTATAGGGTGTCTCTAACCGCGCATTTCTGGCAACTTTTTTTTATCTCTGCACCAGGGCTACCGTTTTGGTAGAATTCTACCAAAACTGGTAACTTTTACCTTCACAAATTTGTCAGAAGAGCTTTTCATCATGATTGTTGTAAAGGGAGCTTTTTTTGTAAGACTTTTGTGCCAGAATAAACAAAAACTATCTTTCCAACACTCTTTCAATTGTATTACAAGACTTGCAACTAAATATCTTAGCCAGAATTGCCCTGTAAATGTGACCTTTTTTAATCACTCGAACGCAATAGCGAGCACATGTCGAGACAAAACTTTGGAATTCAGTGAATACACAGCTCTTTCCAACAGCAAGACAATAGATTATCATCAGCTAAGGATTTTTAATAGACTTAAGTTTGGAAACTATTCTCAAGCATGCTAGAACTTCTTAAGAGCACGCAGGCAAGTGAAAGTAGAAATTTGAAGGCAAAGCCAAAACTTCGTCTAAGGGTCTCGTTCGCTTCCTTCATTTTCAAAACCTTCGAAGGAATTCTTGACGCACATGTTCACATACACGGATGGTTTGGGGGCATTTGTAAATTTTCTCATTTGAGACACAATAGCCGTGCATTAAACGAAAAAGTCGTGCTGCAGCAAGTAATCGGAATGAACGAACGACCACTCAAATCCAATCTATGTACACTAGCTCAGAAGAATAGTTTGTGCAAAATTGGGAAGCTGCATACCAAAGGGGAACGTTTATGGGAAAACTCCACAACGCCCAGCTCAGATTGGGACTATGGGCAGAGTAATGTCGGCGACCCAGATGACACAGAATTAATTAAAGTATCTGAGAAATGGCTGGCGTTGGTGAAAACTAACTCTCCACGACAAAAACATTCGCTGTGCCTAGCGCGCTTAGCGAGGATTTGCGAGCTGATAAGTGCTGTAGGAACAAACTTGAACGCAAGAACTGTGTTTCTTCTATCAACGCTTATAAGCTCGTTCTTCAGCTTAGCTAAAAACTCGAGCCTTGCCGGATTAAAGCTGATGACTTCGCTGGGAACCGCAACGTGGTTCCTTGAAAAGGATACATTAGTGAACCCCAGACAGATACAAGGGGTTGTCGATAATTATTATGATTGTGACCATATTTTGTTGTTTTGTTAATGTTCGCTACATTAAGTCTAGCTAAGAGCTCCGTAGTCACTGTACCGTAAGCAGAAAAGCTTTTGAAGTTCACCTCCAGATGCCAGTCGCCTCCAGTTCTATTTGCTATCTTGGAGCCGTCAGTACATAGAAAGTTTTAAGCGACCCACCCCAGGCATGGTGCAGGGCTACTGACGTCTTACTGTCTTCCAAAAACGGCTCCAAAAAGCAGTTCGTCGTTTCAGACCAAATACAAAAGAGAACTGTATACACCGTCTCAAAGCATCAGAGTTGACCAAAGACCCCAAGACTTTTTTTGGCGGCGCTAGATAAATAGACAACTGTTAAAATGAGGTGTCCACTGCGACCTGGCGATCTATTGTGCCCTCTTTTTTTTCAAAACTCTTCTAAGCCCCAAACCCTCAGAAAGCTCAATAGCGCCTTCGGAGAAGGGAGTGGATCTACTTAAGCTCGGTGAGAATGTGTAGTGTAGAACTTGAACCCTTAGTCTGCAGTGTCCTGTAAGGATGGCTGCTAAAAATCTTAGCATCTCTTTTGGGAGGTTAACCAAGCTTTGGAATCTCTTGCTAAACCCTTCCCATAAGCTCTTTAGTGCATTCCTTCTGAACTCCGCCGGTATATATCCCTTAGTGTGCTTCTTCCTCTCCTAAGCTCCTCCTTTATATTATTGAGACCTTCTCCCAGGAAGGGCTCTGGGCGACTAGAGTGATGGCTACCGACTCTCTAGCGAGAGAGTCAGCCGCCTCATTACCATATATTCCCCTATAATGGCGCCAATTAAAAGCGAGGTATCCTACTAGCAAAGCGGACGGATTCGTCAAGATAGGGTCTTATCTGAATGAACATAGATCATTGGCACTACGTTGCATTCTTGAACAAATCTGGAGCTGCAGCTACTTGAACTTTCTTGAACAGCTGGTATTGAATAGCGAAAGATTTACCAAATAATATACGAACGAGGAAAACAGAACCACTAGAAGTGAAAAAAATTGCAAACAAATCTACTTTCTAGTATACTTATGATTTACGATTATTCCATCATGAAAATTGCTCAAGTTTGAAATGTTAATACATTTTGAAACACCCTTTTTGGTATTGAGCTAGCGAGTGTGTATATGTATGTATATGTTCGGACTTCGAGAGTCAATCAAATGCAAAAATGCGGTTGAGTGTCACGTAGCCAGCGGCTTTGTTGCTGCTACTGCTATTGTTGTTACTGCCACGTCGCTTGCAACAGCAACACAGCAAAGGTGGTACTGATTTGTTGTTGCAATTTTTATTGCTTTCAATTTTGTATTCAATTGCGCG